ATTAATTATATTGAAATTTAAATTTATTATTTTTAAAAATAAAATTTTATTAAAATGTATGGAAAAATTCGATTAAATTCAACAGTTATGATGGCACCATCTAGCGCGCAAAACTATAAACAATTTAATTATTTATATTATTTTAATTTTTAAATAGCTTAATTACATAATAAATAATTCTAATTTAATATTATGTAATATATATAATATGAATTTATTAAAGTAGAAAATTTTATAATTAATATGAAATTATACGATGATATTCTAAACCATTCAGAGTAAATAAATAAATATAATATTTTTGAAATTTTAATGAGTTTTTAGATTAATTAACAAACTTAATTATCTAAATTAATTTTTTTTAAATATTTTTGCTTCGAATTTTACTATTTTCAATGTAAATGTTATGCTGATTCATTGGTAGATGGGTCATAATGATAATGGTCTTTTCCTTTTTTTGTTTGTCCAAGTTGTGATATAAACATTTATTATGAGCTCAATTACAGTAAATGCTTTTAGCCTTCCGTAGACTCCACTTAGTGAGATAAATGATCTTTTCTACAATAAAGAGCTACTGATATTGATGTTAACAATAAACTCACTAAATCTTCCATACTTTAATACACATAATACTTTACTCGAAATGACTCAAAATGATCTTATTTTAATACTCAAAATTAATTTTAAAGTCAAAATGACTATTTTAATTACCGGTATAAGATTAATTTGATTAATTTTAATTATAGTAATTATAATTAGGCACATAATTAGATTCTCTTAAAATCTTAGTTTTCGAGAGTAAATGTGTTAATTTACATCAAAAAACGATTTTAGAAAGTGCCTGAATTTAAAATTTGCGTAAATAATCCTCATAACCAGAGCATTTAAGAAGTGGAGAGGGCCATGTTACTTACTTTTTTAGGGTCTGATATGTTAAAAATGCAAAACACCATTAAAAATTATATTTTTTAAATTATAAAAGTTGACAAAAATAAAGGTTTCTTTCTTCTAATAACACAAGAGAACCGCAAAGGAACCATAGGCTAACCTGTAAATGCCCTATCCAAATGATCGTGCTGATTCCCTTGATATAAGGCCCCTGTTCATATCAATTTAAAAATTAAGAGAGTATGTAAATGAGTTAAAAACAACATTATTATATACCCAATTTTGTTTGTACCAAATACCAAAATGTGGATAGCGGATGGCCGAGCGATTAAGGTAATATCCCGGCCTTAACCTGTCATAAAATGGCATTATCTAGCAAAATTGTAACGTCTAATACATAAATATTTTAGAAATTTACTTGTTAGTTGCATGCATCCATTTATTGTTTATATTATTTAAGCAATACCAAAAAATAACCTGAATAAATGCAATTAGAAGAAAGGTAATTGAAGTACACTTGGTTCCACTTATTAGCGAATAGTTTTATAATTAATTTAAAATTTAAATAAATTAGTAAATATTATTTAATTTCTAGACAATATACTATAAGAATTGATTGCTGTAGAGAGGTTCTAATAATTCACTGAGTGAATACGGTTAAAGAAACTATCCAGAAGAAGCGTGGCCCACATAATATCTGGGTCATTAACGGATGGGAGTGCTAAGGAGTTAGTGGATATATTGAAGAGGTGAGTAAGAAGTCATTCTAGAACTAATGGTAGAGAGAAAAAATTTACTGTATTGGAAGAACTGCAAGGTTTATTGCACAGGCTGGTGCAATAAACCTCGAAGAAAAAAGAGAAAAGAAAGGAAACGAGATAGTTACTGTAATGGATAAGTAACCAAAGAATGAATTACGAGTAAAACGAGAGTTTCAGGCAGATTAATGACAATTAAGATTTGTAATAAAACGCGAAGTTTTAGATGCGTTACAGTCAGGACCATGGAATAATATATAAATAAAGATCAACTGAAGTAGACGAATGACATTATAGACACTATAATAAATTAGGAATATGCAAAAAACGTATAAGAATCGAAAACTGTAAATGGATATATTGGAAAATTATAAAAATTAGTGATTAGATATGATTTTAAAGCTGAAGCAAGGAAAGCAATTTTTATATTAGTAATGCTATATCATACTAATAACTGATACAGTACTTGCTGTTGCAAATATCAGTTATTAAGTGAAAAAGTAACATCTTTGTGAAAAAGTAACATATTGTTAAAACGCAAGTTCTTGTGCGTTTTAACAATAAAGCAAAGAAATTTCAAATAGGAATTTTCATGTTTACGTGAAAATATTCTTTATCCTCAAAGATTACAAAGTTATTCTTGGCATAAGTCTATCAATTTAGCACAAGCTGATAGTAATAAATATGGATTTAAGAATTTTCTCTTTTTAGTTAAAAGGAAGGATGAGCTATTTAAAATAGAAGAACTTAAAAGCATAAAACTGTATTGTATAAGCATAAAATTACTGTCTCTCTTTTTGATCATCCGTTTTTTGACAGTTGAATCGTGATGAATGAAGGATCATCATTTCCCTGTGTTGTCAAGTTCTCTTTTGTACCGTAGCTAGGAAAACAAGCTTCTCTTTCAGGCACTACAGCCACCTTCTTGGCCTGCCGTTGAGGTCTATTGCCATTCGTCCTGTCATTTAATGTCAGAAATGGAAGTCTTTGAGAGTGCATGCGTTAATACTGCAATTCGAATAGTTCTGAATCGCATTTTGTTGACGAAGTCGAGAATGTTCCAATAAAAAATTATTATTGACTTAGAAAATTAATAAAATGTTTTAGTATTATTAAAAGTATTCATAACACAATGTAATAATCTAAACTGAATTTTTTTTTTCTTAAAAATAGATTCACCCGTATTAAATCTTCGAATTCCTTATATCATTGAATACTCTGCCACCATTTGATTTAGACGGATAATATTATACATGTCTTTCTGCCTTACAGAATAGAGCAGGAGTTAAATCATCTGTTACAAAAAACTGCAATAAGCTGATTTGACTCTATTCTTATAACCTCAGATGGTTGGATGACTTTAGAATGGAGAAATAAAATCTTGCTCAATTGTTATCGGACTCTGTCTCTGCTCTGCGTGACACTACATATGACCTGCCTCAAATTTCTTCGAATTCGGCTCTCACTCTGTTTAAATGTGATCGATTTTGGCCGCTTGGTAATATTTCAGCGCATCATGAAGGATCGAGTTTGAACTCGATTCAAATCGCCACAGTTTATCAAGAGCAAATTAATAAGAGTTGGAATCGCTTCTCTCACAGCTTTGCTGAAAAAGCCAACCACGCTCGTGATAGATATAATTATGCACATCGAATAGTCTATGATGTATTGGTGCCTAGCGTTAATAATTCAGCCATTGACCAAATTTGAAAAACAGGTAGCTGAAGAGATAAAGGCATAGCCTACCAGTTTGGTAATCTGGATTCGAGTCTGGGTCGCTCAGAAATTTTGTTAATCCGATATGTCGAGCACCGTCATCATTGGGCGCACTTCTTTAAGGGTATGACCTATAAAAAGCATAAAAAGACGCCTTTCCGAATGACGAAAGAGTTAAAACCTAAAAAAATAAAAAAAAGGCCAAATTCCGATTCCGACTTTGAGGTTCTGGTGTTAAAAGAAAGCACCTTTTTTGTGTAGCAATTTCATTAATTTTAAAATTTAAGAAGATACAAATTAAGTTTATATATCATTAGCTGTTACCCGCGGCTTCACCCACGCGGAATTTGCAATTTGATAGAAACAACCATCCCTCGATACTATAAAAACAAAAAATCGCATCTAAAATAGTACAGTAGAAGACGTTCTTTAGGTTAAGCCTTAAATCTCTCCCTCTCCCCAGTCGGGGGAATTTCGAAAAATCCCTTCTTAGTGAGCGTTTTCATAACGTATTCTAACTGTGTACCAAATTTTACCTCTTTAGGTTCAGCGGTTTGCTCTGGGTGATGATGAATAATTCAGGACATGTAATTTTATATATTACAAGTTCAGACACATGCACTGCGTATCTCGCCGACCACACGACTACGCCGCACGGTTACCTATCTCGTATACGTAAGTATCTTGCCCCTCGCCACCCGCTGACACCAAAAATATAACACTTACCTAGATGATATCTTTTAATTTATATGAATGTTTAACGGAATAATATACAGCCTATGTCCACACTGAAGGTCCCATTCTAAATATTAGTGAAAGAATTTTTGAAATCGGATGAGTAGTTTCGGAGTTTACTACATCCAAACATACAAACTTTAACTCTTTACAGTATAATATTAGTATAGATTATATTGCCAAAATTTTCCGATTATTTTTATATTAATTTTCAGTTATATATTTATAATAGATTTTAGTGTACTGTACAAATTAATGCTTTTTTTTAATGCGTATTTATAACAATGCTGTTATACAAAATAACCTAATTTTTAAAAACTATTCTGGTATTTTAGAAGTATGTAACTCTTTTCTTATAATTCTTATAAAAACAAATGACTCCAAATGAGCTTAAAGAGCATTGCAAACAGCAAACAATATTCGAACCAACAAGTATGTTCGAGATATTAGAATGATAGATTGAAGTGTTAATGGATAGTCAATAATTGTTATTTAATGACAAAGAATTAAAGGAAAAATTACGAAGAAATTACGTAAATTTTAAATAGTGAGATCAATTTCTCTTGAATGTTTTAAATAGCAGCGGTACATAAAATCAATAACATTTAATTACTTTAGTTAGTGTTGATATACCGAATGATCGAGGCCCTCGCCACCAGGTCCCCTCCATTTTGGCCTGGCCGAACAAATTTGATGGGTATGATTACAAGGTCTTCTTAATACCCACAGGCGGAAAGCTAAAAATGAAAAAAAAAAAAACAAAAAGAAAAGGATTCGATTCATCCAAATGATATATAATAATAAATATTAAAATAAATCTGCAT